TTTATATTTCTATTGTGCTGTAGCCCAAGAGTGTGGCTGATATGATTTCAGTTTTGTATTTATTGAAAATTGCTTTATGGCTGAGTGAAGCATGTGGTCAATTGCATAATACGTGTCATGCGAAGACGAGAGGAATGTATATTCCGCAGTTTGGTAGATGTCTGTTAGGTGCATTTAGTCAAGTGTTGAGTTTAAGTCCTGAATATCTTGCCTTGATGATCTGTCTGACACTATCATTGGGGTGCTAAACCCTTTCACTAATATTATATGGTTATGTAAGTATTTTTGTAGGTCTGTAAGAGCTTGTTTTATGAATCTAGGTGCTGTAAAGTTGGGTGCATATGTATTTAGAATAGTTACATCTTCTTGATGACTAAAACCTTTTTTCATTGTATAATACTCTTCTTTGTCCTATTCGATGGTTGGTTTAAAGTCTCTTTTGTCTGAAATAAGACTAGCAACTCCTGCTTTTTTTGTTCTCTGTTTGTTTATTATATATTTCTCCGTTCCTTTACTTTGAGACTATGGATGTTGCTGAATGTGAGATGAGTCTCTTGAAGTTTGAAGGTAGTAGACTTGGGTCTTGCTTCTTTATCCAACTTGCCATTTTGTCCCTTTTAAGTTTCTCATTTAGCCCATTTATATTCCAGATCAAAATACATATGTCAAGATTTATCCTGTAATTGTGCTGTTAGATGGTTATTATGTAAACCTGATTGTGTAATTGATTTATACTATCAATGTTCTGTGTATTTTGGTATGTTTTTGTGGTGGCTGGTTTGTCTTTTGTTTCCATGTTTAGTACTTCCTTAAGGGCCTCTAGGAAGACAAGTCTGCTGAGAATGGATTCCTTTAGTATTTCCTTTTCTGAAAAGGATTTCATTTGTTAATCACTTTTGAAGCAGTTTGACTCTATATGAAATTCTTGGTTGGAATTTCCTTTTTTTCAGGAATACAGAATACAGGTCCCCAATCTCTTCTGACTTGTAAGATTTCTGCTGAATAGTTCACTGTTAACCTGGTACAGTTCCCTTTGTATATGACCTGCCCTTTTCCCTAGCTGTCTTTAAGATTTCTTACTCACATTGAACTTGGAGACCTTCTTTCATTCTCTATTTTAAGAACTGTTGTCTTATGTAATATTTTTTTGAGCTTCTCTGAATTTCCTGAATTTGCATGTTGACTTCTCTAGCAAGGTTGAGAGTTTTTATTGACAATATCCTCCAATATGTTTTCCAAGTTAATTGAACTCTATCTCTTTTAGAAATTCCAATGAATCACAGGTTTGGTGTCTATAGAATCCCATATTTCTTGGAGGTTTTATTCATTATTTTTAATTCTTTTTTTTTTTTGTCTGCCTGCATTGATTCAAAGCAACAGTCTTCCATCTCTGATACTCTTTTCTCAGCTTAGTCTATTCTATTATTAATGTTTCCCATTGTATTACGAAATTTCTTTAGTGAATTTTTTTATTTCCAGAAGTTCAGTTTTGTTCTTTCTTATTGTCTATGTTGTCTTTCTACTTTTGGTCAGTTTTACTGTTTTCCTTGGATTGGGTTTCAACCTTCTCCTGTATTTCATTTAGTTTCCTTGCCATCTAGATTCTGAATTCTATGTCTGTCATTTTAACAATTTCAATCTGGTTAAGAACCATTGCTGGCGAGCTAGTTAAGTCATTTGCAGGCAAGAAGACACTCTGGCTTTTAAAGCTGCCAGAATTCTTGAGCTGTTTGTTTCTCATCTGTGTCAACTAATGTTTCTTTAATCTTTGAAATTACTTTTCTAAAATTTTTTGGATGGTGCTTTTTGCTTTTATATTCTTTATTGTCCTTGAGGTTTTGACGGTAGTGTAAATTTGGGTTTATTAGATTGTTTTCCTTTTTGGATGCTTTTGGGGGACCAAGGCTTAATTCAGCACTCCAAGGATAAGGGCTCTGTCTCTGGGAAACTAGAACAAGACCTGTGGCTTTGTTCTGTGTCCCCTGTGGTCAAACATCTGCTCTGTCAGAGGTGCTGATGTGTTTCCAGTCTACTAGCAACAACATTCCAATCAAGGTTTCTGGTAAAAGAGCTTCATTGGAGCAGTGGAGTCAACATGGGAGAATGTAATCCAACAGGGCAGCAGGGGGCCAGAGGCACATGTGTAGTGATGGGGCAACCATGGGTGTGCACTTGCTCACAGGGTAGCAGGGGTAGGCTTCAGTTTACTGTGCACTGATGGGAGAAGCTGAAGGTGGATCTGTTCCAGCAGGGATACATAAGCAAAAGTGAAAAACTGGAAGTAGGGAGCTTCTAGCTGAAGAACTATGACAGCCACTGCTGGCAAGAGCTTTGGCAGGGCAGCTGAGGCTGTGCACTTAGCGAGTGTGGCTGCACAGGGACCCTAGTAGAGGCTGGCACAGAGAGGAGTGGTCAGATCAGACTGGCCCAGGCCCGTGCGCAATACAGGCCTGATTTCTCCAGATCTGTGAGCTAACAAAAGCTAAAGCCACCTAAAGAAATATGGAGCCTTGAGGGATGGGCACCTATGGCCGTGCTCCACTGCAGCTATTCCTGCGCCAAACTCTCTGGGCTCCACACAGAGTAGAGTACTGTCTCTGCCAATTCTCTGGGAAGTTCTCCCTGCCAACTAAAATGTCTCTAGGTGTCACGGAGTCTCCTTCAGCTAGGATCCTGGTGGTCCATGGTAAGAGTGGGCCACTCCATGCCTGTTTTACTCGCTCCTTTTCTATGAGCTGTGCAGGGCCAGGAATGAGTTACAGTGCTCAGCAACCCTGTGCAGGATTCCTAGATTCCTCACCCTTTAGCTGTGGGGTCTGCATTCTCCCTCTATTCACTCTTAATGCCTTTTATCCAAAGATCTGTTTGGAGTTTGCCAGTCTGCTTGATATTCTGGTCTTTTTTAGTGTAAGAAGCTCTTCCAGAATTCATATGGTCAAACAAATTGACTCTACCCTCTAACTACTTTAAATTTATATAATATACACACATGAATCCAAAGACAAAAATTGGCAGAGTGTATAAAAACGGAACTCAGCCATATGCTGTCCAAAGGACACATTTCAAACAAAATGACAATGATACATTGAGTATAAAAGAATAGAAAAGAAATATGTAATGCAAGCATTAATCAGTAAAAACTAGGAGTGGCTATATTAATACAAGACAAATAGACTTTAGTTCAAAAAAATTGCAAGGCACATTATATAATGATAACAGTACTAATCTGTTAAGAAGACAAAGCAATTCTGAATTCCAAACAGCAAAGAGAAGAACTTCAAAATACATGAAACGAAAGCCAATAAAGCTGAAATAGGAATAGACAAACAATAGTTATAGTTGAGCATGTTTACAATCCACCCTCAGGCAATTGATAGAACTGCTAGAAAGAAAACAAGAAAGGACATAAAAGAACGGAACTACCTTATTGCTCAAGAGGATGTAATAAAAATACAGAGAATACATTCACCTACAAAGAAGAATACACAGCCTGCTCAAGTGCTCATGAAACATTTACCAAGATAGAACGAGATGAACCATAAGAAATGTGAAAGAATTGCAATGATGTAGAGTATGGTCTTTGGCTAAAATGGAATAAAACTAGAAATCAGTAGAAAAAGGAAAACAAAATTCCTCAAACACTTAAAAATTAAATCATACCCTTCAAAGTCTTGCAATAAATGAGAAAATTTCAAATAAAATGAAAATATGCCTAGCAATTGAAATTGCTAGCATGACATCAATTGAAAGCATGACATATCAAAATTTTGGGGGTGCAACTAAAGCTGTACTGAGGAAATGCATTTACAAAACTAAATGTTTATTTTAGAAAAGAGTAAGGAAACAAATCAATAATCTCAGTTCCTACTTAAAGAGATTAGGAAAAGGAGAGTAAAAAAACCCAAAGCAAGTAGTTGGAGAGAAACAATAGAGATAAAAAGTGGAAATCTATGAAACTAAAAACAGATAAACAACAGAAATAATTTAAAAAAATAAATAACTATCTTTAAAAATCAATAAAATTAATACACTTATAGCAAGACTGACAAAGGCAAGAGAGAGAAGGCACAAATAACAGATCAGGAGCAAAATGGGGTATCAGAACAAATCCTGCAGCCATTAAAATAATAATGAGTATAATGAACAACTTTTAATTCATAAAGTCAACAACTTAAAAAATTTCTCACACATCATTAATTGTCAAAAGTCAGATAAGAAAAAACACATAACCTACATAGCACTATAAAGAAACAGAATTTGAGACTGGTAGGATGGCTCATGCCTGTAATCCCAGCACTTTGGGAGGCCGAGGTGGGTGGATCACCTGAGGTCAGGAGTTTGAGACCAGCTTGGCCAACATGGTGAAACCGGATCTCCACTAAAAATACAAAAAATTAGCCAGGTGTAGTGGTGCGTGCCTGTAGTCCCAGCCACCTGGGAGGCTGAGACACAAGAATCGCTTGAACCCGGGAGGTGGAGGTTGGAGTGAGCTGAAATCACACCACACCACTGCACTCCAGCCTGGGCAACAGAGTGAGACTCTCTTTCAAAAAAGAAAGAAAAGAAATAGAATTTGAAATATACAATTTCCCCAAAAGTAGATAAGCAGGAACAAATGTTTTTCCAAAGAATTTTACCAAATCTTCAAATAAGGACTAATGTCTTTAAGTTCTGTTTTTACAGAAGGCCTGAAGATCTAGGGAGAGTTGGGGGAATAAAAGTAGCAATATTTTGCTGAGATTTGGATTCTATTGCTGCTCAAGTTTGGAACACTTGAGTATATAAATTCAGACTAAAACTTAATTTGCAATTGAAGTATTTCAATGTAGCTTAGTTTTCCTGGTCACAAATAAATGACACTTGAAGATTTATGTACAATGTGAATGGGTATAGATTGTTGCAAGTATTTGGTTAAAAATATATATATCTAAAAATTAACTCTGTGAGTGGGTAAAGGGATAGGGCCACAGTGGAAAACTGACTTGGAGTCTGGAGTATACCTTGCAGTTGTTCTCCCAGAAAGACTTAGGAAGAAGATCAGTCGGTAGATGTGTTTTCACAATCCGGGGTGATGGATTCTTCTGTAATTCTTCTACACCTGAGAAATTTTAGTTAAGTATATAGATATATTAGAGTTTCCAGGGAGGTTACATTTCCTTATTTCCTTCTTTTGCCAACCAGTTTTTTGTTTTGTTTTGTTTTGTTTTGTTTTTCCTGAGATGAAGTCTCGTTCTGTCACCAGGTTGGAATGAAATGGCGCAATTTCTGCTCACTGCAACCTCTGCCTCCTGGGTTCAAGCGATTATCCTGCCCCAGCCTCCTGAGTAGCTGGGACTATAGGCTTGTAGTCCCCGCTAATTTTTCTTTTTTTAATTTTTAGTAGAGATGGGGTTTCACCATGTTGGCCAGGATGGTCTTTATCTCTTGACTTCATGATCCACACACCTTGACCTCCCAAAGTGCTGGCATTATAGGCATGAGCCACAGTGCCTGGCCGCCAACCAGTTTTTCAATATATTTTTGAGCATTATACAATGCAGCTAAATTCTGAACCAATCACAGGGATTTCACCACATTCCTTGAGGCAGTACTGTGTAACATTGAAGAGTACACATTCTGAGGTTAACACCCAGAGCTCAAATGCTGACTCTTTCACTTAAGCATTGTGAGACACTTTGAAAGTATTTCAAAATCTCTGTACTTCACTTTCCCTGTCTCCAAAATGAGAAACAATAATACTCCTTTTAATAATTTGGAGTTTTATTGTACCTGTGCATTGCTATAAATGACTTTTTAAATGTTTTCTGCATGCCAAAGAGATATCAATAATTAGTAAGTCTAAAATTGGCTGTTGTGTTTTATCAGGTAATGTAGCATAGATGATGTTAATTTTGTATATATTATCACCTGTTGTATCTATATTTTCATTATATTGTATATGTGTCATATGTCTCTCCATATATAGATACACAGTAAAAATGTGTAATCTTTAGAGGTTACCTTAACTCTCTAAAGTCACACAACAAATACGTGGTAGAACTTGGTTTCAGATTAAGGTCTTAAGGTAGATGATACATGAACTTCTCATGCATTCTTTTTTGTTTTACAGTATTACTTATACACAGTCTAAACTCTAGAATACCTGATAATCTTACATATTTTTCCCATCTCTGAATACAAAAGCAAACTCACACAAAATTGCATCTGGCTCACTCATTGAAAACAATACTTTGTTTTAAATATTTGAAATAATTCACTGCATATGCTAAGAAGTCATTCGGCCTATTACAACATTTTTCTTTTAATGTTCTATATAACCTACTTTGGTTTAATAGTTTATTTACTTATTTGCTTGTTTGCTCTGTGTTCCCATGTCCCTTCCCCAACCTCACTCCTAAACACACACTAAAATGGAGATTTCAAAAGAGCAGAAATGTAACTTTTTTGTTCATGAATAAACGTCTATAGAGAACAGTGAATAGCACATAGTCAGTACGCAAAAGATCTATTTAATGTCAGTAGAGACAGGTTTGGCAGACAGGAAATTTAAAAATGTGAAAATCCCAGTTAAATTTGCATTACCAGATAAATAGCAGGTTGTTTTTAGCATAAATATTTCTTAAAACATTTGGAAAGTACTTATGCTTAATAAAATGGTTATTTATCTGAATTTCAAATTAATTAATTGTCACATATTTTATTTGCAAACATAAATTACTGTAAGCATATATTACGATACAACTCCACCAGGGATTTTATTATGCTTCTACTGATCTAGCAGCTACAGTCCCTTTACCTAGCATATATAAATGAGAAATTGTAATCTTCCACAACTTGTTATTACTTAATGCCCACAGCATAATTTAGATCTGTTTCTCTTAAGAAGTTTTGCTCACATCTGTTGTTCCTTGTTCCCCATTCAGCTTCCCTGAAAGATTTCTCAATTTCCCCTGTTTTGCAATCATTTTGCCAAGAGTCTTTTAAATGAACTCTTTATATCTATAAGTATGAGTATTAGGAATGTATAAAGATAACACAATTTTTCACATTCAGGCTCTAGAGTAGATTTAAAGGCTGAAGTTTACCCTTGTCTACCTGCTAGACTTCAACTATTCACTGTCAGGCAATGTGACACAGCCTCCCTCTGTATTCCCAATCCTGCCTCCCATCTGTTATCCCTGACTACCACATCTTAGATTACTTTGGTTCTGTCATTTTTCATTTCATACTTTCTATGGCTCTGAAGTCTTACCTCACTCTTAAACTCATTAGAATTCCTTGCCCTCAGCATAATCCCTCAGTTCCAAGCTTTCCAAGGATAGACATGTTTAAGAACATCAAACTCCCATCATAACCATTTGCTTTAGGAATCTTTGCAGTTTGCATTTTAATTCCTTGACATATGTAAGAGTAACAGGTTTGTGAGATTAGCAGATTTGCTTTTAAGTAAAAAATGTTGAGTATTTATACTTGAATTTTAAGTTGAAATCTTGCTATTTTTCTTTTTAAAATACTGTTAGAGACAGAGTCTTTCTCTGCTGCTCAGATTGGAGTACAGTGGTAGAATCACTGCTAAGTTTCTGTGTAGTTTTGGAACATTTAAAGTGACTAGGATTTGCTGTATTTATGAACTTAATTTATTAAAGTATAAGTACTTGGAAAGGTTTGTCTTGGTCAGATAATTGAAGTACTCAAGGAAATGAGATATACCAATTATATAAATGCCATTTAAGTGTTTAAAGGAGCTTAATTAAATTTAACTTGGATTGAATATTAAACTACTTTTGTTATATAAGTAAAATAATAATATTTATAAGTTGAACTTGATGGCTTAGGAAAGAACTGGGATTTTAGATTTGTAACTTTGAAAAATTGAATGTATTTCTTAAACAAAACAAAACAAAAAAAGATTGGCATTTGCTCTCTGATTTCTGGCAATCACCTAGAAGGACGGACACCCTGCCAGTTGATCTTTCTCTGACTATGGAAGTAACTAGTTGAGTCAGCCTGCTGAGGGGGTCCTCCACTACAGGAGAGGATTTGGATATTTCTCTTTCTATTGATATACAGGTCTATCACCATCCTACTATTTATTTTTATCCGATGATTCCAACAACATTTGAGAGTCGAGCTTCACTTCTTGAATACTGCTCTCATTTACCTACAGAACACCATACTCTTTCATTTCCTCCTTTTTTTTGTTTGTTTTTTTTAGTTTCCTTTGCTAACTCCTCTTTCTCTACCAATCATCTTCATGTTGATGTTTTTTCACAGCTCTGTCCTGCTCTTCTTATATTGCTCCACAGGCATTCCCTGGGCAATCACATTGATTCCAATGTCCAATTATGCTGAGCATTGCCTAATAAACATCTTTTAACAAATACCATCATTTTAATGTATTAAATTTTTAACTGATTATAATATCCAATGGCATCTCAAAGTTAACATTTCACAACTGAATTATTAATAACCCTACACCCAAATGTGTTCCTCTCCATGTACTTTTCCTTGCAAGCAAATGGTTCCACAGTCTGCTTGCTTGATGGAAATAAAACGGTAAGAGTCATTCTTAATTCTTACATTTCCTTCATGTTTCTTTTACAGTCCATGAACAAGTCAAAAATGTATCTTCTCTAGCATCCTCAATTCCACCTTCACAAAGCAACCTGTGGAGCCTTTGTATTTAAAACAACAAAAAACAACAAAAACTCTATAATTTTTCTTTGCCTAAAACCCTTCAATGTCTTCCTCAATGTTCTTAGGATAAAGTGAGAAAATAGTTTAAGAATTACAAGTCCTACATGATCTATCCTAGCCTAATTTCCAATTGCTTCGCATCCCAATTTTTCCTTCTTTCATGGATCTTTATAGTCCCTGGACTACATCAGGATCTTCCTGGAATAAGTTTTCCAGGACTATATCCTAGAATATTCTTTCCCCAAGTGTGTACAACTCTTTATTCTCAATTTGGAGTAGATACCCCTTATTAAATGAAGTTTAAACTAAAGCTGTCTTTTTATACATTTTAAGTTTGGCTTCAAGGTTTCTCTATATGTAGTGAACTGTAACCTAACTGGATGTGTAAACAGATTCTAATCTACTCTTGTGTTAATCACCAAGTATCAGTCAAAGGTGGCCAACTCTTCAAATTGTGTTCAAATAAGTCAAACACTAAGCAGTAACTAAGCCAGTTGTTTCTATAGCTCACTTCTGTTTTCTGTATGTTACATTTCTTCTTTCCATAAACCCTGTGGCTTTTCTGGAATCTCTGAGGCTATTTTGGCTGAAGAGGCTGACCAATTTGTGAATTGTCCTTTGCTCAGTTAAACTCTGTTAAATTTAATTTGTCTAAGTTTTTTTCCTTTATAGCCATTTAAAGTAAATTTTCCTATTGTTCAGTTCCATAGAAACATATTCTTTGGCTATGTAAGGCTAATAACATTGATATATTATTTACTTTTTAACATTACAGTATTACTGTAAGCTCCCTGTGATACCACATATAATTTCTAATTATTGTATATCTATACCATAGCACAGTGAATAATCTTTACAAGCAATCCATAAATATTTATGAAAGAAAAATTAATAGTATTAGTGAATTCTATGTTTTAAGAAGAGTTGCTACTTCCTTATTTATTAATTATAACAATGTCCTAAATTAGGAACTAATCTGACAAATTCTACCCAACAAAATTAAGTAAGACATAAAGAATATTATTTATTTTATTAACCAAATTTTCAGTTGTTTTCTACAGTAAGACTCTTTCATCTTTGCATGTTTTGTATCTTTGCAGGTATCATACCTGAATATGCAACAGACAAAAATAAAGTTTTGTCAGATTCCTCAGTTTTATATTGTTTCTCAACTTCCATTTTATGTTACCAAATCTACTCCAGTTTCAGTCAAAGTCACACATACAATAATGCATATGATGTGTAAATAATCTTACAAAATTATAATTCCAAGAGGTTTAAATTTACCTGATGTTCTTACTCCAGAGAGAGACATTTCCAACATTGGAACTTTTTTGTTAATAACGTCTCGCTTACATTTTTCAATATCGCCATCATTAAGAATCATGTCTACAATTTCACTAACCCAAGTATTACCTGCGGCAAAAGGGAATATTTAAAAAAATCATTACCCTAATTGCACAGGAGAGGGGGAAGTATCTATTGGAAACACTACCATCTTAACACATACTATTAAAGACTTAATTCCCCTTTCTATGCCCCAAATGCCAATTTTAATATACTAAAAGTAGATGGCTTCACTAAATGAATATTAAATTTACGTAGAATGGTAATAATTTTATGGAGAAGTTGATTTCCAGGAAACAAAAATTGCAGTCAGACTTGAATTTATCAGGCCACAGAACTCACCTGATTTAGGATAAGAGGCTATCACAATGTCATCTGGCCTGCTACGAAACTGTTCAATCCTTTCCCAGTTGCTCACAAAAGCACAAGGCATGGGACAACCATGAACCAACTTCAGATCTTTCCGCAGAACATCTTCTGGTGAAAGCATTTTAATACCAGATTTTACAAATATATAATAGATTGACAGCCTTTCTGGAGAAATATAGAGGACAAAATCAGAATCTGAGTCACTAATGTTGCTCTTAACACACTGCAATTTGTTACAAAGTAAAATTGGCCTTTAACATTCTGGGTACATGGATTTCTAAGTACAAAAGGCATATTATGTGGGCATTAGGCTGCAGTAGATTGCAAGAGCCACAGCTGGTTCCGTGACAAGTAGGACAAAGGTCTCTAGTGGAAGCTTTAGAAACAAATGAAACTGCATCTCTCACTTTGAATTAAAAAGCGTGTTTCACAGAAATATGCCAAAAACAATCTAACAATCTGGACTTAAGGTAAAATAAATCCATTGCTCACTATTAACACTTCAGCTATACCTCACTTTTCCTTACAGAAAATCTGCTCTGTCATTCTGACCTTTGATCTTTAGTTCGTAATTCACCTGCTTTCTTCATCTGCTTGTAATTTCTTTCTTTATCACTCATTTGGAGCAAGTGAATTATAATGTTCCTAGGTGTGGTTATTTTCATTTGTGTGTGTGTGTGTGTGTGTGTGTGTGTGTGTGTGCAGCTGTTGAGAGCCTTCTTGGTGTGGGTACTTTGAATCCTCATGAGGTGGATGAGGACATCACATGGCAAGGGGCTGGGCATGCTATTCAGATCTCTTCTTCCTCTTCTTAAAAAGCTACCAGACCCACTCCCATAATAACTCTCATGACTCAACCTGCCTCATCACTCAATCACCTCTTAAAGGCCCCATCTCCCAATACAACAACTTTGGGGATTAAATTCCAACATAAATTTTGGAGAGGAAAAATATTCAAACCATAATACATTAATGAATACCCTATGTGAGCAAGGGAAGTACACTTCAGTTTCATCCTATCATTGACTAAAATTCTGGATCAAACTAAATCATTCCATTCTTTATTGAGAGTTACTTCAATTCAATGTTACAAGAAAAAAAATTTTGTATAATCTTTAATTAATAAGTATTTTAATCATAGTACTAATAATACTAACATACACACTCTCTTTCTTGCTCTGTTTCTCGGTCTTTGTCATATATGCATGTGTTCGAAGGCAGTCAGACAGGAGGAATTCCTCTTTACTTCTAGGAGAGTCACGCTTTTGTTTCTATTCAGGCCCTCAACTGATTGCATGAGGCCCATTCACATAAGGGAAGGCAATATGCTTTACTCAGTCTACCAATTCAAAATTTAATCTCATCTAAACACACACACACACACACACACACACACACACACACACAGAGTAATGTTTGATCAAATATCTGGGTTCCCTGTGGCCCCATCAATTGGACAAGTAAAATTAGTACCTCAAAGAGGTATTTTTTATTTTTTACACTTCATTTCCGCTGAACTTTGTAAATAAAATCATAGCCTTGCTTTTAATATATTTTTTTTATTTTACAACACTTTTATTTTATTTTACAACTTATAGATTCCTTCATAATCGATTGTTCCAGTTATTTCTGAAGATCTGTTGATTTAATAACAGAAAATGTATGCTATTATATAGAGATAATTTGAAGTAATTGCAGTATAAATTGCATATCTTAACTGAAATTGTATCACTTCAAGTGAAATAACTTTAAACTTTAAAGATTGCCAATTAGAGGTTCTTAACTGATTAAGTATATTTTATGGTAAATATTTTTAAGTAATTTGTGAGTCTAAAATTTTTCAAAGGAGTTTAAAAAGGTAATTTATTAAGCTCTCAATAGTCACTTTCTTAATGAGACCTACAAACAAAAATTACTAATTTAATAGCTAGCCACAACTTAAAGTAGTTTACCTAATGTTAATTGGTATAGAAAGAGATATGATTTTGACTAGGAAAAACCTGCTAATATAACAGCCTTGTATTTCAAAGCCAACTCCTCCACCACCACTACCTCTGTCTACACACACACACAGAAATCTAGGAGGGAGAAATTTTGGTAGATTTTTTTTTTCATTTTATATTGTAAGACATTTATTACATACCATATTTTACATGTTATCATTCATGTAATGATATTTTTTACACAAAAATGCTGTCATTTTGTTTTCCAGTAAAAGTCATTATTCAACAATATGTTTGTCTCAAAACATATAGCATCTTATGCTACAAATAGAGTGAAAATGAAGAAAAAATACTTGAGGTTTTGCATTTTCCTTCTGCTTACTGAGTGATGAAGTTGTAGGCCTCAGAAACATGGAACAGAGGATAGTAATGGAGAAGTAGTCTCAAAATGGATTAGACACAAGTTTAGAGCATGCAAGACCCTGAGACAAGGATGACAACTGAGTGATTGGAGCGTTTTAGGAAAATTATATTAAATATTTATTTTCAATATGCTTCTCCACTATCCTCCATTCCCAGCAAAATATCAGGTAGTCTTTGCAATCCTTTGTTAGCAAAGAGACTGAGTCTCGTAGAAAATATTTTCCAGCATGAAATATTATGGAACATGTTGGAAGCTCAAGAAAGGAAAAATTAATATGGATGGTCAAGAAGTCAGCAGAAGCAGGAAGCTGAAAGAAGAGAAAGTAAATCTGTAAGTAGTATACTTGGGATGAAGCTGGCATTGAATACATTGAATGAAGGAATGGATGAACAATGAGACTTCCACTTCTCACTGAGAATCTTCTAGTATGTTGAGAATAGTACACATTTCCAGTTTGGATATAAAGGAATGAGTGTCCACAGAATTCAACATAGTACATTCAGATACTAAACTTGATTTTCATATAATAAATGAAATAGCTCTTTCTGAAACATTTTATTTTGTTAATTTCTCAACAAATTGTTTCTTTCCAATTTATCTAAAGGAAATATCAATTGCACACCTCATTTCAACAGTTGTATGTTACGAATTAATTGCGAAAAAAAGTCTGTATTCATTAGCTCCAGAATGTAATGTTTAGAGGCAGTATAACTTTACTTATCCACTCATACAATGTGTGCATATTACGCAAAAGTGAATGAATATTGGAGAAGCAGGTACCCTTTCATGCTATCTGTTAAAATTATGTAGATAAATTGATTCCCCTTATAGCAGGTAGTTTATATTATACATTTATAGCATAATTTCTGGCTCCATTTCATGTCTTAGTTCATCCTTTGCCTTTTCTTCATTTTTTACTTAAATTTATAAAGATTCAATTTATTTATTCATAAACAATTTATATTAATTGAATTAACTTGATTACTTAAATAATTTAATTTAATAATTAATGATTAATTGATAATTAATGATCAGTTTATTTATCTTATTTTAATTTGTACTAATCTTTCACATGTATAAAATTGATTCACAATTTCTATTTAAATTACAGTCCATGTACAAGCCCCATGTGCTATTGGACTTATCTGATAGCTTGTTAAAAATGTACAATCTCAGCCTTCAACCCAGAACCAGAACCTACAGTTTAGTAAGATCCTCAACTAATTTGTTGGCTCTTAAAACTTGAGCAAATGACATTAAATCACCTTTAATTATCTAATGATACAGTGTATGTAAATGATTTATCAAAATGAATTCAGTGTCTTTTAAAACAAATTGTATCGATCGTGCTTCATGTATATGATCTCTAGTCATTACCTACCCTGAAAAGATAAGTCCTACATTTTTTCATAAGATTAGGAAACAAATCTTCAGAGTGCCTGCTCAAAGAAACACAGAAAAGGAGTGGCAACCCAGGAATGGACTTTAGTTTGCCCAGCTCTGCTCATGTGGTCATACTGAAAATTTACTCTAGGCCCAATCTAGAGTCAAAAATGTCCATCACTTATCTCATCCAAACAAGAATGTTGACAAGTTGTAAGGGATTTTTGTTCTGACAATGAAAATCCCCTGTGAAAAAAAGGTCAGGCTCTTCATGGTGTAAAAATGTTGCCGGAGAAAGATGGAATGAGTAAGAAGATGAAAATAAGGCAACTGATTGTGAATATATGCTAGTCACCTCTGGGAAATGGGTGTGACCTATTCAGGAAGCTACAAGGTATTAGGCATGAAATAGCATTACCTCATCATGACCAGTGGATAATAATGAGTTCTGAATTTATGAGGAGAAGGATATGGGGGGAGGACTAGAAGATGTAAAATAATAAAGTTAAACTAGATGTGCTGAAAGATAATTTATGAATGACATTTACTTTAAAATCTAAAAATCAGTTCATAAAACATTTTAAACCCTATCGGAAAGGAACTGGCAATTTAATGTAGTTGTAAATTATAGTCTACATGGGATCTCAAGACTGCCTATTTAAGACGAGCCATAGACTGAAAATTAAAATGTCTAAAATTGGCTTTAAGGAATATTAATGGAACAAAAGCAAAAATTAAAAAAGAATGCCTGTTTTAGAAGAAATTGAGTCATTTAACATTAAGACTATTTTTCTTTCAATTAGAAAAAATGATTTCTTCCATTTGTCATACCCTGACAAAGTTTAGCTCTATCTGGTACACATCAAATCCAGCTACTTAAATAAATATAGTAAATGACATATTTTATATTTTGGAATGCACGTTAAAGGTGTGCGTGTATGTGCATATGTGTGCATGCGTGCACATGAGTGGGACTGGATGAAAGATGTGAGCAGAGAAACGAAAACTTGAAAAGGATTTCTTTTTCCTTAAGTGGCTTACAGTTTGATGAGACCTTCATTCCTGGCATGCTTCAGAAGAGTTCCATTAAATCTAGAAAAATAAAATTGAACATTGAGAGTTTGAGAGATTTTAGACAGCATAAACAACAGAGTTTCCTATAAGAAAATTGGAATTACGCAAAAGACTTTCTAATTATAAAATATGTTCAAAACAGAAATTGTTCTAAGGCACACAATACTCTGTGGTGGCTATGACAAAACTTCAAGGAAAGGAATTGAAAAGCAAATTTTACCTCACAATTTAATCCCTTTGTTCAGTTTTTCACTTTCAGCCAGTAAAGTTGCTGTAGAGTAACCCTGGGAAGCAGTGGTGGCTCCAGCAGGGAATGGTGAGCCCAGGAAGGCTCACTCCTGTCACCCGAAAAATAAACAAGTTCAAAGTTTGATCTGAACGTAGCAATCACTGACTACTTTACAAGCAGCTAAGATACAAAAAGTTTAAACTACCCACACCCACAATTACACACACACATACACACAGGAGGCAAGCTCCACTGTTTCAACAGCTAACAAAGCCAGGAAGCCAGGAAATGGATCAGGGTGGTGGCCTTAACTCAGCACAGGTACAGATTGTCTAGATTTTAAGCTCTCTGCAAGCTTCAAAGGGTCTGAGAAATGAAGAGGGAAAGAACGTGAAGGGTTAGTGGATCAAAATTGTTGCTTCTCTATAACTCATAAGAATGTTTTCTAATAATTTTGGCTATAACAAAAATAAAAATTGTGTGTGTGTGTGTGTGTGTGTGTGTGTGTGTGTGTGTGTGTATTTGTCAGTGCATGTTTCCATCTGGAAGAAACATGAGTTTCCAACATCATTAAAGATCAAATATATTAAAGATGAAACTATTAATTACTTTGGCAGCAGAAACAAAAACACTCTAATCATTTCCACAACTCTTGGCCTTTTCTTCTTTTGGTATGCAAAATGACATAAACAAAAAACAAGCGGAAATCAATCCATTCGTTAAGAGCACTCATCTCAAACTTCTACAGAACTACAACAGCCAAGCTCCTGCCCCTGTAGCTATACGTATGTAGGCCTGGGAAAGTCAGGAAGACCAGTGGAAAACTGGCAAATTCCTTTAGACCCTGAATTTAACTTAAACATTTGTTAAAGAAATGTAAAGCATATTTTCTTCTTAAAAGATGATGCAAACAGATTCCTAATCTTTGTCAGCCAGAGTTGTTTTATTTTGGTTTTGTAAAGAAGGTGGAAGTATATTAAAGAGAGAATCCAGAGAAGAGGGGTTT